TTAATTAATGATGAGTTCCAATAAGCTCTTTAGTTTGAACAAACAGAAAATCTCCCGTAAAAGGGGAATTTTGAAACTTTTGAAATACCATAAATTTGCCGAGCAACTTACGACCCGATAAACTAGGATTGCTGAAAGTGTCGAGGCAGAACCCATCAGATACCTTATAAAGATTGAGCACGATCCAGTGTAGACAGCTGCTATCCTTTATCCAAGGTCTAAGTGAGATGACGCTCTCAATGTTATTTAAAGCGTAACTTCGATCTCAATGATAATAGCGCATTGGATAATTGATATTTGAAAAAGATGTGCCATAATTTATGATTGGATTCAGCCAAACCATCCAGTATTAGATTCGACTTTCAAGGCCTTCATTGAATTATTTTAAATTATAAAATATTTTCAGGTCTTCCTCTGTTAGATAAAAATTGGTGCAAACTTAAGGTTAACGAGATCTGTGAGCCAAAATCGATTCTCCCTCCCTTTTTTCTGATTGGGAGCCATCCAAATCAACTTCCATACTTTTTCCATAATTTGAACGGAATTCAAACGAGCCGCATATCAGTCTAAGTTGAGGATAAGGATAAGACAAAACAATTTGTGAACGTAAATCTTTATAATTACAAAACAAAAACAACCATAGTTTTCGGCAAGTTGGATATTTCAAATGCAGAAGTTTGTTTTCGCCACCGTTATTTTTCTTTATTATAAATGATGCGTGATGTATCATAGTTTAACCAGCCCACTTGAAACCGAGGCTGCGCGCTGCGATATGATCATCTGCTCAAAATTTCCTAGATTGACCGACCGGAAACTCTAAAGAAGTTTACAAAATGTTGATGAATTTCTCTCTTGCAAAAAATTACAAAAAAAATTTAAAACTTTACGATGAGCATGTTATGCAATAATAACAGAGTACGTTGAGTTATTTTTCATTTTATCAAATTGCTCCATTCAAAGTACCTTTCTTCTTTTCTGCAAAATTTTAGTATGCGTTGTTTTTGCTGTGGCAAACAATACACCGTACAGAAGCCCCATACCCGGAGCCTCGATAACATTTTTACCCTTGAGTCAACTCCGTCTCGTATGTTTTTACTTAGTTTTGATTTTTTTTTTCTTTTCTTTTTTTTTTTTTTACTATCATGTTAAGCTCTAGCAAATTGCAATATTCCAAGCTTTATTTATTTCAGGCTTTATTTTCCTTTTTATCTATGATGGAACAGAAATTTGTCTCAAATTTAAATTCTGTGAAAAACGTGGCAATACAGATCTTAGGGCGGGGCCAAACTGACCACATAAACCTTACCGCTGTGAACCATGGCATTCTCCGAGTGCGAGAGAGAGTACCCAAATTAGCACATTTACCATGGTGCAACAGCGAGCGTGGGCTCGTTTCGGAGTATTTAGTAAAAGGAATTGTTACTTTTGATTTCGTTTTAGGCCCTAAAAGCTTAGAAATTTCTCTCAAGTTTTCGCAGCCGAGATTCTTGACTACAGAACAAAATGACTGTGGATATATAAAAATCTTATATGTGAACTGCGAATTAAGAAATAAATATGAAAGCAATCTTCGAAGCATTGAACACTTCTTAAGTAGTAGCGAAAATAAGGTCGGAAAAATTTCAGGCCTTGCGGGGTTTGAACCTATGAGCTGTGCAATACCGAGCTTATATGATTTTCATATATCCACTGTCATTGATTTGTAACTTCACGGTTTGTAATAGTGTAGTCCGGGTCAGTGTAGTCCTAAAAAAGGACTGTTGTCGGTAGTGGTGACTGACGTTTCGAATACCTGAGCGGAAGTCATCATCAGAGTCAAGTGAATAGTTCTAAGTCTGGTTTGTATAAAACTGATTGGTCAGTTTTGCCGTGATGTTATTGGCTGTAAAACTTAAGTGGCGTAAGTCGAACGTGATTGGTCTGTCTCGATCCTCTAGTAAAGTTAGGTCGTTCTGTTCTGATCGTTTATAATGTTAATGTCGTGAATGAGTCGTTTATATGGTGCCGTTAGTGGTTGACACATATTGACTATCTACCGACCCTCTACCGCTACCGATAGAGGACATTATGGACTTACTAAACCTTTGCCTTACGTCAAGTTACTTTCGGTGCAACGGTAAACACTACAAACAGCTACACGGCACAGCTATGGGGTCTCCAGTTTTTGTTGTTGTAGTAGAAATTGTGATGCAGAACATCTAGGAAAGCGCCCTCGTGGTGTTCTTAGCGACCACGAAATCCCAGTTGTTCGGTCAAATTTTTGAAGTTAACATTGGTCAAGACCTTTCCATTAAAATAACCCAAGTGACCTTTTTCCGACAGGACTGACTCTTCTTCAGGTGTGATTGGCTGAGCTTTGTTCTGGGAATAAGATGCGATTTAAAGAAAAAAATAGTGCGATTCATGAATAAATCGTATCAATTAGAGCGAATCAGATTACATAGACCACCAGTGATTTCAAAATGGGTGTAATAAAATCATGATATCATAATAGAATAACTGAGATCCTACAAGCATCCCAATAAATCATTTCCTATCGTGAGACGTTGAGATCAAACGTTGACAAATACATATTGGTATGACAGCTTTCTGGAATTTTTTCAAAGTATACGTTTTTTCTACAAGAAAAAAATGATACGACTTATCTATTCCTATAATTCGAACAAGAATTAATGCGAAGAAATCAAATTATCCTGCAAAAATTTATTGTGTTGTTATGATTTTTCAAAAACGAAGAAGGTATCCATATGTTTTATTTATCCCCCAAGAGTATTTCAGTTTTAAAAATATAAAATTAATGCGAAGAAATGAAATCATCCTTCCAAAACTGATTTTACTGTTATGATATTTCATAAACCAAGAAGTTATCCAATTTTTTTAGTTATCCCCGAGAGTTTTCACAGTTTACAGTATATCTGAAAATTTATTTACTTAATACATCAATAAGAGAACTTTAATTTTTTTTTTTAAGGAGCAGTTAGTCTAGTACACAAGGGGCGTGCTCATCACACATAAACAACTTGGTATCTTGCGGTTTCCCAGGCAGCGTCCACATCTAATTATCAGTCTGCGATCACGCTTTCCACTCTTGATGACTAACCACAATTTTTGTGGCTACTGCCTCCTATAGGAGGCGAGGCCACATATGTTTTTTTTCTTTGAGACCAGATTATCATCAGAGGCTTCCCAGGCCGTGACCACATCTAATTACCAGTCTGTAATCACGCTTTCCAGTCGTGATTTCTAATCACAATCTGTGTGAGTAGTGCCTCCTATAGGAGGCGAAGTCACATATGTTATTCCTTTGTGATCACGCTATCATCACAGGCATAATCACGGCGTGAAATGTTCTTCCCGTAGAACTAAATCTTTTCGGTCGCTAATTTTCCAAATTCATCAATTAAATGCACCTAATCAACATCTGGAACTGTGCACAACTTCCATATCTTGACCAAAAATTAAAAATACTCCCTTGCTGGTGGAAAGTTAAGACACGAAAAAAAGGTCCAAAGAGTTATCCAGGCCTACTAGTGAACGTCACGTTTCGTAGTGAAGAATAAACTCGGAATCAAGTATGAGCAAAGCATTTATTTCATTTAATGTGTATAATTCTTAATTTAATTTTTTCTTTGGTGACAGGGACGCTTAGAACGACAAGCAGTCTCATTTTTCAACAGCCTGAAAGGAACAGGATGGTTATGGAAGATTGCAGTTAATAAAAGTAATTATTCTGAACTCCTGAAAAGAGAAATGGGCCATTTCATTCTAACCCTTAAGCAACTGATATAAGTACCATTAAGTCATTTATTGCAATTGAACACTAGCATTGCTTGTGTTATGAGCACTGCCTTGTAAAGAAATCAAGAAGTACGTAAAGTTATATTAAGCAGTCCTTATTGCGAAAGCTTATACCTGTTCGCACTTCATGTAATTCAAGCTGGTGAATAGTTTTCAGTTGAGTGTCAAAAGTCCTAACTTATTCCCGTTCCTCTATTATCTCTAGTTTTTCCCGCTATCAGACCTTTATTAAATCATATACGTTGTATTTAATCTAGTGTTCACTTTACTACACTCAGTTGAAAATGCTTCAGGTAAGATAAATGTATTTATAAAGAGTTCTACAATTTCTCTAAAACTTAATGATTGATTTCACTAATCTCCTATATTTACACAGTTTAACAGCTGACCTACAAAATGATTCAACCTATTTTAGTGTCCTTTGAGTAGATTATCTTCGATTAACGTTGAATCTTATTTAGGTTTATTAAGAAGTAGCAAGAGTTGATTTCATTTGCTATGCATTTAACTTTCTTCTCGGACACGGAAGATAAATAATTGACTACTGAGGGAGTCGTGTATAACTTCATTCCTATCTCTTAACTCTTACCCTATCCTTAACCCAAAATACTGAACACTGGCATTTGGGATTTCTTTTCCACGCCATGATTAATGGTTTTATAGGGTTGGAACAAGGGTAATATATTTCTTTTAAACCCCCTCAACTTAGAAAGATTTTCATTTTAGTGTAAAACTGCAATAAAAAAAGTTAAACATTAACACCATACCTTATTTAGTCCTTACATAATCGTGTTGCTTTGTTTTTAAAGCATCTATCAGACTGAACATATCATTAGCACAAACAAAAGCGACATCTAAATTTCAAAATAAACTGAAGCTAAAATTATCATATCGTGCAAGATATTGCGTCCTGTACTGCAGCCTCTAACGTTTTGAGACACGAGCTTCGTCATATTTTGTTAATTAGTTTGTTTGTTATTACTTCTTTAAGCAGTGACTGATTATTTGCGATTATTATTACGAAAGAGATGCTTTGTATAATGTGAAATTCGAAGCATTTTTGATTGCAAGTTAACAGGACATCATCGGCGTATAACCTCTATAGAAGAAATTCTATGGAAGACTTCCCAAAATCCCTGAAGTACGTGTACCTGAGGATCATTTTATGAGTTCCCTTATTTCTTGAATTTTTTGCTTCACATTCAATCTGTACCACTGTAGCGTGAGTAACAAGCAGGTGGGTAAAGTTTGTAGATGAAGTAGGATCCACAATTTTTGACCGAAATTCGGATTGCATATTTGCAACCGTAAAAACGATCACTAAAGCAGACCTTCTTTTTAACTTTACCATCTTCCACTGTAGTATGAGCATCATCCAACCAACCTGACCAGTCTGCACCACATCTGTATGCTGGCACACGTATTTTTGGTATTTTTATTCCGGCAGCTCCCACCAAACGATACTATCCCCGAGGGAGTTGGCACGGGGAATTCTTATCACAAGCATTCTGAAGGAGAAAAAAACACTAAAATGATAATTGAGAAAGGTCGAGGGTTTGAGTGAAAGAAGAAACTAAATACTGTATGATCAAATGCACGATAATTTGCATAAACATTCATAATTATTTCCATATTATTCAAAGGCGACGATTTCGAAAAACCGATTTGTAACTCACCTTCGAGCCACGATAATAAAAGTCGGCATCAGTTGTCAAGTCATTGTCATATCTCGGATGCGTGGCGTTATTTAGTTCACAGATGTGAACTGGTTCATTATTCTCCGGATCTTTTTTGAAGTTAGAACTCACGCAGTTGTCGTTCAGGTAGCACATTAACTCACAGTCATCCAAGTTCTTGACACGTTTTTCTTCGATAATATGATTCACCAAACGTCTTTCAGCAATGGAGTGGTAGTCTAGGAACAGCATTTTGCGATCTCGCTCGGAAAAATACATAACAGTAATTTTAGTGATGATAACAATAATGATAATAATATGTTTTCTCCACTAATAAATAGTAGGGTGAAACTTATAAAAACTTTGGAGAATCCCTCGGTGGAAAAAAGCCTAACCCTAACATGAACTAAAACTTTGATGAGAGGTGCTTGATTTTAGATTGTTTCATGAAGAAATACATAATTGAAAAAATTCTCTAGGACTCTTTTTTTTATTGAACAGTTATCATCCTCATGCTAATTTCCATTGAGACCAACCATTCTTGTCTGACATCATGCAGTATATCATTCGAAACGTATCAATTTAGGGTCAAACCTTTTTTTCAACTTGCATTTTCTCCGGCGAAGGAAGGCGTTAAACAATTGTCTTATGGTCTTTCCTCTTTTCTATGATTTTTTTATTTTATTATGGTCATACATTCATCCCCTATCTACATTTTATAGCTCTCCTCATGTAAAAGTCAACATAGTTTACATGTCGAAAAAAACCATTACTTGAATCAATTTTTGTAAGCCTTGGAGAATTTTGGTGAAATCATCAAATAATAGAAAGTAGAAATGAACTATAGGGCTAGGTCACTGATGTCGATATTAGTGTTGAAAATATTCCATGATTCGTCAGACAGTGCACTTTAGAATTTATGTTTTCAATGCAACATAAATTTAAGTCGATCGACCACCATTATTCAGTAATGCATTAATCAATACAAACCGACGCGTTTATATTAAAGACTGGGGTCTAGCAGCGGTAATTGTGGACTCAATAGGACTGCTAATTCAACAATATACGCACGTTTCATGTCTGTGATGTTTGATGTTTTTTTAGGTAAGAATCCCCATTCGTTATTCACAAAAAAAATTAGACGAGAGGATTTTTTTTACAAATTTCGTTTGGCAACAACATGAATTTAAGTCGCTTGTAATCAAAATAAATGGAGTAGATTTAACATGATATCACTGTGAACATCAAAGGTGGCGTGCAAACGCAAGGAAAGCTGTCATTTCGACAGCCATGTTTTTCTTTCCGCCTTACGGATCGATCCACTTTCAGTAATTTTTTTTGGGGGGGAGCCAGCATGTAAAATACGCGAGTCAGGATCGGAGTCAGCGCGCGAGACTACGGCTAATAGTCATTTGCAACTTCACTGAGATTGATTATAATTATTTGCTGTGGAAGCATGATGGAAAATTAAACTTCCCTCCGACACTAATCACGTTAAGTTGGCTACCATGGGACACACGCTCTCGGTTGTCGTAATGGTGAATTAAAGTTTGCAAAAGATGCAGCGTCAGCTACTGTTTTAATTTAGCGTAGTCGTTGACTTAGTGCCGTATACACGCAAATAGATTATTAACGAAAAAAAATGTGGTAAAATGCAATATGTCTTATTTCTATCATTTATTCATTCACTCATTAAACTATTTGTTATCGCAATAACAATTTTAGAGATGAAAAGTTACCAGATTTTCTGTATTTCTGAACATTCTTAACTTATGTGAATAGCAACCGAAAATCCCAACGTTAACTGTCGTACTGAAATGAATTATGGTCTTTCCAATCATATTGAACTAAGATCCCCTTCTCTCTGGGCCGAGTCTAACCAATAACGACCGTAACTGATCAAGTGGTTTCTTCTTTTCTCGAGTTTTCTTCTCTAAGAGGCATAGGTATATTAAGATGAATTATTTGTAAAATTTTGTTACATGTCTCCAAGCATGGTAGGACTATCAAAAAATGTATCACCTGCCCCTCCTCGAAGGGTTCTTTTCTAGGCCCTAATGGTTTTTAAGTAATGGAACAGCAACGGATTTATTTATTTATTTATTTACAGGTCTTCTGTTCAAATGGATGCTACTGCAGTAGAAAGAAAGCATCGAATAATGTTCGTTAAGCTTTGTTAAGAAATCTGGCACTGAAGCATTGCGGGTTGTTTTTTTGATGACTCTCAAATCTTTCTTGTGACTCTTTTTAAGTCGTAACACCGTTGCCTACTCGTCTTTGATTGTAATTTTGTTTTAAAAGGAAATATCATGCTCAGATATAGGGATAAATATAAGAAGTAACAGCGGAAGGTACTGTCATAAGTTATTTAAAATTTTAGAATTGGACCGCATTGAAAACTTTATTAACCTACTTTTCGATAACGCATACAGCGAGAATGACACGTCTATTTTCCGAAATAAGTTCTTTTCTTTGTCATGAGTCCTTATTATCATTGCATATAATTTTTTTCTTTTTTAATGATAGCATTTACCAGGCGACATCAGCGTAAAAATCTACCAAATATTAAACATCGCGACGCCAAGGCCCTAAAATACAACGATTATGAATCCTATTACTATGGAAACTCCTCCCTGCATATTCAGTCTGTGCCACAGCAGCGCAAAGGACACTTGGACGTCTGATAAAGTTTGTAGATATGGTAGGATGAGCAGTTCTTCACAGAAATTTGGGTAGTGCGATAGCAACCTTTAGAGTGATCATTAAAGCAGACCTTCCCATAAACTTCACCATCTTTCACAGTAGGATGAGCACCATCCAACCAGCCCGGGAATTTTGTACCACATTTGAATACTGACACACGCGTTGTTGGCATTTTTGTTCCTGCAGCTCCCACAAAACGATACCATCCCACAGGGAGTTGGCTGTCACAAAACGTTGATCCATGTAAAGGTGTTTTGTGAATTCTATTTCGATTGGCATCACTCAGGTTTTTCTAATGATAACAAGGATCGGCTACACAGTGAAATGATAATTACAAAAGGATTTAAGTTATTAGAAATTATTGATTGCATTAAGTAAGAGGTCAAGTGATACATGTGTGGGATGATATCATACTGTTAAACGATATAAATGAGAATATATCTAATCTAAACATATTGTAAGGGTTTCCAATATTGGTGTTGGGGGAATGAATGGAAATAATATATTAGCATAGGCCATTCCGTAAACATTGTAATAAGCCAGTTGATCATTTCTTATTCCTTTTTGCGGTCTTATCTTACAAATAGAGTTTGGTCACCTTTTCCTTATTATATATGATCGTGAATTTGACATAGAGACAAATGTTTTTGCGTAAATTGCGGTTTGCGACTAGTTACCGGTATCCTTTCATCACGTTGTTCAAAAAATAATTAATTACAAAGGAAATGACTCTACCCTATAAAAATTGATTCTGCACAGGAGTTTCCTGGAAATATCCCTTCTTTATACTATCCATTTAATACTCTCGTTTTTAAGCTAAATCCATGTCGAATTCTCTATCAGGAAAATAGTTTTCAGTTTTTAATTTAAAACGTTCGACACCTCTTTTTCTAAGAGGTGATTTAAGGTGTAAACGTACTTTCATCTTCTGCACTAAATTTGTAATTAGATAACCTATACGAATACCACGTAGTTCTCTTAGAGGCGGTACCTTGGGTAGGTCCTTTCTTCTCCGAATTTTGCGTTTACTCTGCTGTTATGCAACAACCTTATTCAAGGACAATTTTCTTTTAAGTTACCTTTTCAAGTATGATTCTGTTACTAAGTTCATTGTAATTTTTATATTGTCAATTTTGTTTTTGTTTTGCCTAAACTTGATTGTAAGACCGAGAAATTTAGGTTAGAAAGACATTTCGTAAGGTGTAAACATCGCGAAAGTAACTACTTAGTATGCGAGCTCCGTTCTACGCAGCCCAATGTTATTCGCTATTTAAGTGTAAAAACATGACGAAGGTTAGAGATTGACATCTCTGTAAGTGTCACCTTTATAAACGGTGACCCTCATTTTCCTCGAGAGATCAGAGCTATTCCCCGTTGTGACAGCTAGTGTAAAAGGTTAAAATAAAGAAAAAGTCAACAGAACGAGTGTTAGAGTAAATTTTACCCTTAACAATACTATGAGGCTAAAAAATCAATATGAGAAATACATTTATTAACCATAGATAGCAGTATCTTAATTCATGTTTTCTTTTTTTTGTTCTATAACGCATTAAAGGACAGCTTTTGGTAAACTAAAGGTGCATGTAACGTAGTTCACTTATAACCAAGCAGCAATATGGTCGTTAATGACCACCTGAGTAGGGATGATTCAGATCGAGTCAAACCAATCGGGATCATAATTAATTTAATGGCATGATAGATAACAAACGTACTTCAATACTTAACACCATTCCCGATAAGATGTGGGTTACAAGAACAGTGGTATGAGCCCTGGGTATTAATGCAAGAGGCATTCGGATGGCATTATTTCATATTATAAACATGAGCCTCGCTGCACTTTGAATAGATTTCAGTCTAAGGAGTCCTTGCTAGGATTGATTATGAAAGAACACAAAATTGGAAAATTGCACGAAGCTTCTGTGCAAAGGTTTTGTTAAGGATCATCTCAACTAAGCTATTTGTTCTTTGGCAAGTCTTAAAGCCTCCAACTCGAAAAGCAATATCTAAAAGGATTTTGCGTCAGCGGTTCTATTTTTTCAATCTCACACTATGGTTAAATTATAAGACGGGCTACCCCATTTTTATAGACAGATGTATAAAACTAGTATAAGTTGGTCTATTCCAAATGCCAGCATTATTCTTCTATAAAAATAACTTCGCTTAAGTTGGCTAAGAACGGCCAATTTTTTTTCCATGCTAATTATCGAATTCCCGTCTGCAACACAACAACGAAATGTTTTTGATAGAATTGATTATCCTTCCATGTAAATATGAGCTGATGAGCGTTAGGATTGAAGTTGTTTTGAATGAAGCAATTCTTCATCGTAGCAATTCTTACTTTTTTTGTAACAACTGAAAATTTCCGATATGGTTCATCATAATAATACGCCTTTGTTAAATACTGTTAATATCTACAAAAGAAGTTTGCAAGACTGAGGTTCCTTCCTTTAAAAATCATCTTTGTTTAATTGAGGTTTTTAATTTTGCCATAACGACACGTTAATAAGCTCAGTGCATCAGCTGTTGTAAATCAGCGAAATAGAAATAAAGAGTGACGGAAAATAAGATATCAAGGGCTGGAGTATGGATATAGGGATGGAAAATGATGCGCATTTTGTAACTCACCTTTACCAAACGTCAAGTAAGTCGTCGATGAAGTCAAGACTGCGAATACTAGAAACGCTGAAAATTCCATGCTTCCTCAAGACAACGGAGCTCAGTATTGATGTTTTCAGTGTGCCACAAATTTCGCGTCGACCACCTGCATTTGATAATGAATTTAAGTGATAGAAACCGACCTATTAGTATTAAAAATGGGATGTTAACCAAATTAACAGCTGTCAGTCCCGACCCTGCAAATAATATACGTGGGTACGCGTTTTAAAGTTTGGGAATGAACACGTTTCCAATGTCTTCCTTTGTGCCAGTTAGAAACACTTTGGTTTTGATGGGCTACGATTCTATCGGTGTTCATCAACAGATTAGAAAAAGGGATTTTACCACACAAATTTCCATAACATTAACTTCAATTGCTTCATAATTATAGTCAATGGAGTGCGTTTAAGACAATAACATCATATGAATATTCTTAAGAACATTAGGTGAACATATTCCAATAATGCAGTCACATAAAAAGCCAAGTTCCCTTGAGTTTCTAAGAACTCCCAATTTTCAAGATCGATCCATAAATCATCACTTTTGTCATAATATGAACGGAATTCAAACGAGCTGCATATTAGTCTAAGTTGGGGGATAGGACAAAACAGTCTGTGAAAGGAAATCTTTATAAGTACAGAAAAATCAACCGTCATTTTTGGCAAGATAGATATTTCAAATGAAGGAGATTTTTGTCATCGCCTCTATTTTTCTTTACCGTAAATTGAACCCAAACAGCGAGCTTCGTCACTGCATTGATTCCTCTCTCATCGCTTTATGGAATTTCCTGTCGGTACGAGTTTCACAATTTGTGACGAGCTTGGAACCGCCAGCACTGACATTTTATAATTTGGCTCTTTTCTCTATTTACGGTAATGATGGAACTACAATTTCGAGAAGGGGTGTCATTATAAACATAAAAAAATATCGCTGAGAGAAGATTCAAGAGGTAAACCTGTTGTAGGATGACTAAAATTGAGGATAATGATCTTGTTTATTTCAAATAGCTGAAGCCGTGTTTTCGCCAGAAGTTTGTTATACCCACATTTGGAAGCTCGGTATTTTTCATTTTGGTTTTATTTCAACCACACAGAAATATAGGACTTAAGGGTGGATATCCGATTTATATCATAGAATGAAAGTCAAATTCAAGTTATCCATGCATTAAGTATGATCATTTCTTACCTTCAAAGATCCTACGTTCTTTGGTGCCCAACTTTAGTGTTTTTAAGCCAAACGTGTTTCTTTTATTACTGTCTAGTAGCTATGGTTACGATAGAATCTGTTGGTTTCAAGCCAAGATGATCATTAATATTAGAAATGAACTTCCCTTTTCCTGTTTGGGTTCTTTGCACGAAAAGGCAAACTAGTAAAATAATACCAGGTGAAAAGCCCTGCACTCGCACAGTTCGCTTTCATTTTCCAAAAACATGAATTCTGAATTTAGACTTTATCTTGAAATAAGTCTGAAATTATAAAATAAGTTACGTTCTTTGATGGATTGTGAGTCTCTTGCTCTAATTCGACAAAATGAATAAGGGCAACTCCTTTTTGAATTTCGAATATTGTGTTTGTAGTTGTTAAGCTGAACCACCCTCTTCACTACGTCGGGCAAAATATTTTCTCGTTTGGCCCTCCTAATTATTCGAAATAATACAGGAACGCAAAAAACTTAAATAATTTTAAGACCAAAGTGATGAGTCATTTTATCCTCCCCCACATTCATTAACGTCAAAATTAATAAATGATGAGTTCTAATAAGCTCTCTAAATTCAACAAACAGAAAATCTCCCGTAAACGCCTGTTCTCAAATTACAGAAATTCAATAAATTTGCCGAGAAACTTACGATCTATGTCTCGATGCATCAGGATTCCATAAAGACTGTCGATGGCTCATTATAATAACACACCCTTGCTAAATACCATCAATGTCTACAAAACAAATTTACAAGACTAAGGTTCCCTCCGTTAAAAATCATGTTTGTTGAGTTCAGGATTTTAGTTTTGTCACAGTGACCAGTTGTAAGCTCAGAGCATCGACTGTTATGAATCAGCAAAATATAAGTAAAGAGTGATGGGAAATAACACGAGCTGAAATGAACTATTTTTAAACAGAAATAACACCACCTGCATTCAATAATGGGTTAAGTAATAGTTACCGACCCTTTTGTGTTGAATAAGGGATGTTAACAAAGTTAATAGCAGTCAGTCAAGACCCATTAAAGTGATTGAAGCAAATAAAATACGCAGACACGCGTTTGGGATAAATGGAAAGACATTGGATTCGGCGAGCTACGATTCTATCCGTGTTTATCTTCAGATTAGACTCAGACATTTTGCCACACAAATTTCCATAACATTAACTTCAATTTCTCCATAACTATAGTCAATGGAGTGCGTTTAATAAAATAACATTATAAACGTATCTTTGAGAACATTAGGTGAACATAATTACTCCGTTAATGTAGTCACAGAAAAAAGTCAAATTCCCTTGAGTTTCTGAGAAACACCACCTTCAAATTTACAATATCGATCCATAGATTCAGCGTTTTG